AGATTCTCTGCTAATAAAGGTGACTGTTATGGATCATATTGGTCGAGTCCTCGTTCCCACCGCAACAGTCCCCCACAACATTACCCCACTTGTCGGGCAGTTCTTTCTATAGTGGGCCGGTTTTCCGCAGTAAAGGCAAGTGAACAATGATGGAGGTGGACCCACGGGTCTTTTCATGTAACTGGAGATTTTGGGGGAAAAAAAGAAAAAGGTATTCTTTGTCTCTCTTGCTAAAACAAACATCTCTACAACCTTTCCATAGTCTCCAAAGAAAAGATTTGGCATTCTCAACACTTACTTGATGGGATCGTACTCCTGGCAAGACTGCACCATCATGGCCTTTATTTTATCCTCTTCGGAAGCATTGGCCGCAGCCAGGTTGGCAGTCTGTTGAGCAGACAGTTATTGGCACACACACTGGAAACACATTTCAGCCCACACAGCAAAGACAACATCACTCATCCCATCCTGCAAAGAACAGCACAGCGCTAGGTGGGGGGCATGAAGACAGCTGCTTCTACAAAAGAGAGTTGTCCTGGAGATGTTCTGGGGAGTCCTCACGCCACAGCATGGTCTTTGTGTACCTGTCAATCTACTTGACAGGAGCATTCTTGGGCACTCCAGTCCTTAGGCTCTGTTCGGGCCTTACAGAAGGACTTGTGTAACCAATCCAATTCTATTCTGAGTAGACTGAACCTGTGCGTAGAAAAGCCTATAGTATTCAGTGGTTTTAAACTGGATTTTACGCCCCAGACTATTTGAAGGAGAAGACATCCACTGAGTTCAAGAAAGATGAAGAGCTCAGCGGAGGGCTACGAGGATGGTGAGGGGACTGGAGCATCTCCCCTACGAGGAGAGGTTGAGGGAACTGGGCTTGTTCAGCCTGAAGAAGAGAAGGCTGCGAGGGGACCTTATAAATGCCTACAAATATCTGCAGGGTGGGTGTCAGGAGGATGGGGCCAAGCTCTTTTCAGTGGTGCCCAGTGACAGGACAAGGGGCAATGGGCACAAACTGAGGCACAGGAAGTTCCGTCTGAACACGAGGAAGAACTTCTTCCCTCCGAGGGTGACGGAGCCCTGGAACAGGCTGCCCAGGGAGGTTGTGGAGTCTCCTTCTCTGGAGATATTCAAGACCCGCCTGGACAAGATCCTGTGCAGCCTTCTCTGGGTGACCCTGCTTCGGCAGGAGGGTTGGACTAGATGAACCACAGAGGTCCCTTCCAACCCCTACTATTCTGTGATTCTGTGATTCCAGATACAAGCAGGCTCTAAGGGAGCGACTGTAAATGGTCTGGACCTTCAAGCACCTATCACTGAGATCAGTCACTCGTGGGTTTGGTTTTATACGCGTTCATTCAGAAAAGTGCCCACTCGTTTCAGCGTTGTATTAAATGGTTGTTTCATACACACAGTTTTTTCTCAACAGTAACATAATCCAGACCAACATCTTTGAAATCATTTCCACGAACACTTACAGAAAACTTTATGGATACCTGACCAATTTGTTGGAACCCAAATAGTTTCCAGAAGACATCCAAAACCCACAAAATATTTCCAGGAATAGACCACAATTCAAGTATGCCCTTTAATACACAGTAATAATAAACCAGAAAACTTTTGACTGTAACACACTGCCTCCATGCTAAGCCGGTCTGCACTGAAGAGGTCAAGTACGTAACAGTTTTGAGCTGCTTTATCTTATGTTCCTGCACTTTTTGGAAATATTTGCATTTTCCAGAAAGCTGAAATGTGTACACCACTTGGGCAGTGTTTCACATTTTAGAGCCAAACTTCACAGGAGTTTCTTTACAGAACCACGGACACGTTTCGTGACAGCGCTGTTGTCCTTGTTACAGAAACGCCTCTGTTTTGGTTCTTGCAAACCCCACCGAAATGTCCACAACTTACAGGAATTGAATTCTTCGCTGAGAATTGTGGTAGTTTCCAATGCAAAATAATGAAAAGTGTTAGAAACGGTATGGTAAACGGCATCTACAGTTCTTCTTCTTTGTGTCTTGAAAATGAGTAATACTGCCACATCATGTTGAGTCTGACAAGGTGCTCACCTTCTACCTTCCCAAAGTGGGAGCTTCTCTTTAAAGGACAGTGTCAGATGATACTCATACTTTAAGGTTCAAATAAATATTTTAAATTATTATAAATTAAAGTAATGTTGTGTTCAGATTGAAACAGTGATCCAGCTATAGATCACAGTATAAGATTTAAAAATATGAAGGAAACTCTTTTGATTTTTAAGGATTTGACAAGAATATATATGTACCTTAATAAGCTGGGCCAGAGGAAGAGATGCAGAAGAGTCATCAACCTGTTCACAAAAAATGAAACACATTTTGAAGTTCTACAACCAAAACACAACAATAGTTAACCTCTGCTGTAGTCTGAAAGTCTGCACTATATCCTCTGAGCGTCACTGAAAGAGGCATTTCCAACTTGGTGTGATTTGTACTTGTTCCAAACAAAGTCCAAACCTTTGACAGCCTGAGAGTGCCGATGTGATGAAGGAGAAGAAACTAAAACAACCAAAGCCACTTGAGATCTACTCCTTCCTCCAGAATATCTCGGAGAGAGACCCTTGCCAAATGCTCAACACTGCTTAAAAGAAAAAAAACCCAAAAAAGGACTGCAGGCAGAAGTTAGGAGAAATGACAGGGATTTTACCCACAAATGCACCAGCCTCTAACCTGCTGCCAGAATTTGTACACTCTGCTTTATATGCTTTCATTTGCAGGCAAACTGTGAAACTAAACTCCTTCATCATGTAAAGTGGAAAGTACAGATGCACCACGTGACAATCCCACGTTTTGTAACTACATTTACGTTCACAGCAATCTATGAAAGACATTGATGTACTCAGAGGGGCCCAAACAATATCATTTCAATTATACAGGCTTAAGAACAAACACCCACTTTTTAAGAAAGTGAAAAGAAATCATTTAGCTGCAAGAACGGTCCTCAAAACATATCGGATATGTTGGGTTTCATATTTGATTGAACCCCCACGTCGGAAGTAAGAAACAGGACACCAGGTTTAACAAGAACGGGTTCTCCATGGTTTTTGATAACATTGTCAAAAACCATTAGGCAAAAAAACATATTTAAAAAAAAAAGGTAAGTGATATAATGTGAAAATGGAAAAAAACACACTCCAAACAATTCTTTTTGCAAGAAACAAAAAGCACACAACAAGCTATGCAAGCATTCATTTAACCAGCTACAGACAGACAGGTGTAGAACACGGCACCACGCTCAGCTGTGCAAACCTCGAACCTACGTGATCTAAAAACGATCCTGCATTATCTGTACAACACAAAATCATACAGGAACTATTCCAGCATATTCAGTATGAAATACAATGCATTACTAGGCACAGATACCAATATTCACATTAGAACTGTGCCAGTGATGGCATTCCTTGGTTTTTACGATGCTGAATTGAATACAGTGCATTTACAACATGTACCATGTTGGAAGGCAATGCGTGGAAAATTAGCACAAGGCTACACCGTTTAAAATTAAGTACAGTTTTACAGAAGAAAAGTGTGAGATTGGTTTTTTACGTACTGCTTTTGATGTTCCACTCCCTGGTTCAGTTCAATTTCTGGAAGAAGAAATAAAGGTGATCAGAATTTAAAATCAAGCACTTGTACCCAACTTAAAGCAGTGAAAGCAGATTACAGAACCTGAAAACCAAAACAGTGTGTTCTGATAGTCTAGTGAATGTGGAAATTTATTTGCATCCATTAACTGGTCTCTCTTGGGACATTCAGTGCAACTAAAACAAAACCCCCAAATCACATGTCTACTTCGTCACAAATTACGAGTTCTAAACTTCTTGTCTGCATGGGTCGCCAGCTGGCAGCCCTTGGTCTTCCCTCTATAGCTCGTGTGTAAAAAAACCCAGATTTGGGGTGTAAGAACACTTGCCATATCCCACCCCTCTCCCCCAAATGCAAGAACTAATCAAACACTGAGAATCAGACTCTCTGGAGCATGGAGCTGATGGTAAGCTTACACTCAGCGCAAATGCCTACCTCTCTACTGCAAAAGCAGTAAAAGCAAACACACAGAATAAGGAATCTCTCCACACAGAGGAAACGGGATTACCGCTTGGGTCTCGGAACAATCAAGCCCAAGAACAAACCCAACAGCATCATCTTAAAAGTTACCATTGTTGGAGTTTGAACCCCATGTCCCAGCAGGCCTAAAAATGTCTGTCTGCTTTGGGGGACACACGTTAAAATCCACCCCATTCCAACAAAACCTAACAGCAGCTTTAGCAGGAGAGGTACAACCTGAACGCCTCTGTGAACTGACATCCATAAACCAAGTTAACACCCTGAAACCCCTAACCGAGCAGGCAATGCTTTACAGATACCTACGCAGCGTATGTTTTGCTGGTCGCTGTGACTCCTCTGGCAGGGATTCTCCTGACAATAACAGATGAGTTCTTCGGAATCAGGGCATTATCGTCGGTGTATTCTGAAAACAACATGGAATGTATATTCATATGTAGCCCCACGTATTACAACTGCCTCAACTA